AAATATTGTGATCCCTTAAACCCTCAAAACTAAACCTTAATACAATATAGTTAACCTAAACATAAATGATATAATGAATTTGTTTTTGTTAAAAAAGTAATATTTTTGCAAATATTTTGAAAATGTGGCATTTTTTAAAAGTGGTATTTTTTTAAAATTTCTCATATATAAAAGTAAATGAAATATGTTGTATAATAAGATGCGGATACTAGATGAAATTTACTCTATAATAAAACATAGACAAATACATTAATATGCATATATAATTAATTGTTCCTTATATATTTGTTGATTTAACCATCTAAATGTTGTATACAATTTTCTTTTTCTTTTTCTAAAACAAAATAGGGGCAATTACAAAAATGCCACTTTTTGTATGCACATTTGCAAAAATGCCACTTAGAAGTGTTCATTTACAAAAATGCCACTAATTATAAATTTATAAAGTCTATATCTTAAAATTCTAAACCCTAAAAAATGTTTTGACACTTAAAACCCCCTAAACACTCAAAACTAAACCCTAATAGAACATAATTAACCCAAACATAAATAATATAAAGAAAAAATAATTTTGAAAAAGTTGTATTTTTGTAAAGATTTCAAAAGTGTGGCATTTTTGTAAAGTGACATTTGAAAAGTGGCATTTTTTGAAATTTTTCAACAAAATAATTATGTAAAGAACGATTACAAAAGGAAGAAAAATAATAAAATTTAATTTAATATATTTGTGTGGATAAAAATTGAAACTATCTTGTCATCATACTTTAATATAGCGAACTAGATTGTATATTATTGTTCAAACGTTGACATCTGACTAAAATAGTTGAAACTTAGTTTGAAGTGCCCATATATCCGAACAGAAGCTTTTCTATATGTTTATGTTTGACATCTTATATAAAACGGTACGTATTGCAAAGGTTATTCATATAACATGTGTCTGAAAGTGAGTGGGTTCTAACTTGCTAATGCCGATGGATATATAGACGGATATAGAAGGTTCTCGAAGATA